CTCCTGGCAAAGGGACAGGGATAGGGGTCCTTCCTCTCCTGTGTGTGGCTGTGGCTGTAGCTACTACTCACCCTTGGATAATAACAACAGCAATATAAGAGCTTGCTGGTTACATTTGGCTCTGAGTGTTTTGACTCCTTGGCCAGAGAAGTGCTGGCAGCTTTTGTAGGATCCACAGGTAAGGTAAATGGTGCTGGGGGTTAGAGTAGCCCGTGGTACCACTTCTCAAAGCTGATCAGAATGACTGGTAARTTCCCTTTACTCGTGAACTCAAGCTGGCATGGCTTGGATTATGTTCTAGAACAAAAGTGAAGTGCTCTGTACCTTCTAGAATTCTCTAGGTCCCTATCATAAAGTGTTGGCAGGAGAGTCCCATGCCCAGGGAGTGTCAGCAGCCCCGATCCCTCCCAGGGAAAAGGCTCCGAGTGTGGTTGTTGGACATAGACCCAATTTTCCCACTCTAATCTGCACAGAGGAATCCATGTTACCTGTCCCCCTTAGACCACCACTGATAGGCTTCCTCCCTTACCCGGGGTCTTGGAGAACCAGAATTATTTCAGCAGGAAGATTTCTCTATCTTCACTGAAAAATTCTATTTTCAACAGTGTTTTTTCTTGAACTCACATCCCCCCCCCCAAAAAAAATAGTGAGTCAGGAGAGGGTATAGAATTGAGTCCCACAGTCTTCTGCCCACCGAGTCCTGGCTCCTCCACAGGCCCATCTAGGTCTTGAATAGGGTCCAGGTCTTACACACTACTCATCTTTGTCTCTCAACTAAATGGTCACAAACCCATCATTTCTGGTGTGACCTTTTCCACATCTGGACATGAGGACACTTCACACCACTACATACATGGTAGAGATTCCTCCTGCTGTTTCATGCAGGGTTTCTCCTAAAGGGAGCAGTTCCATAATGTCAACAGAGTCCAAGCAGGAATATTTAGCAGGCTTTGTCCTTTATAGTGACAAATATCAGGCATTAGTGGCAGTGGCCATGTGAATTACATGGACCAAGATCCCATCTGGCAAGGCACTATGTGGAGACAGCATGTTGGTAGGGACAGGAGTGTCTTTGGACTTGGAGGGATGCTGGCCAAATTCCTTCTCTGGTTCTGTGAGTACATGCTGCCCTGGCCTGACCTGTACCAGGTAGCATCAAATATCAGATCTTGYGGGAGAGAGGAGGAGGTTTGGAGGTTTTAACTTTTTCTTATGGAAACCAGCTCAGATCTGGCAAACTCTAGAGTGAGAACTTGAGCCTGGGGGAGGGAAGGCTCCAGTGATGTGGGAGCTGTGTAGATGACAACAATAGCAGGAGGACTGTGAACCTAACTGACAACTCTCTGCACCCTGAAGCACAGAGATGACTGGGACAGCCTGGGGGCTGCACAGCACCCAAGAGTGGGCCCATTCTGGGGTAGAGAGAAGAGTTAAACCCAATATACCCAACATCAACTTTTAATAAATATCATGACTTGGACAAGCGAGATATATCTAGCTTGACTTTCCATTGGCTCCTTGCCTTGATCCCCAAGCCTAGGCAGGACAAGATTTGAATGGTCTGAACTCATAGCTCCCCTCCTAACATCCGGTTCTCACAACATGAATGATGCTTCTTTATGTCATTTCTTGTCTTCTCAAGCATGAGATCCTTGAGGATGGGAAACTTTAGTTCCATTCCCACAGTCCTCCTAGTGCGTGACATGACCTGGATAAGTTAGTGCAATGGACACTCTTTACTCATCAACCTAAAAGACATTCTGCTAGAAGTTGCTAGGTCTGAAGGATGGTGGCAAGTCACAAGGGCCTGGTGAACTAGGAAGGATAGGCTGTGACCCGGTCGAGTGATAGTGGTGGTGGGGATAGGGACAGGGATGGGCAGAAAGATTCTGAAGTGAATGTTGACAGATCAGGCTCCCTCCACAAGGCTGAGCTGAGGAGGGCCAACCAGGCCCAGTGCTGCAGATCAGCAGCTGAGTGGGCAGACATGAGCCTGACATGCATCTCTCT